CGCCAGAGAACTCAATAAAGACTTTGAAGAATGTAAAGTCATTGGTTTTTAAAGTATAAAATAGCCTTCTTGTCATACTTCAAGTTAGAAAGACAAGAGCTAAACTTACAAGGGGATCTTGTATAGATGCACCTCCAATTCGAGCTCTGCTTATTCGCAATCGCATGCAATTAAGTAGACCAACAAAAAAAATTGTTATTCTCGAAGTTATCGGATTAGAACGTTCTAAATAGCACGTCCGATATAACCCTTGCTGACATTGTTGTTGTGTAAAATCGGTGGTTGTTTTTTTTTGTCTAAAAGAGCCCAATGTAAGATGTTCAGTTATCCAAGTGCTGCGCTTTACCGCGACATCCGTCTACAACAAGATCACACCTACAACCAGCGGCTAGCCTCGATGAATACGAGACAGAATTCGACGGAGTAAGAAACCTAGGTCTTTTTTGAGACTTACCTTATTACAACTTATCGTTTAGGCTTACCTGTACTCTTTTCGTCTCTCCACATGGCGGTTTCTTGAAGATCCACAGTCTTCGCTCCCTGCGGCAGTATTCGGTGTACTTTCCGTGCTTTTCGTCTTCGCAAGCGTGTTTGGTGGGCAAAGTGAAATTTATTCATGAAATTGTTACAGTATGTAAGAATTGTTTAGGTTTGATTTTGGGATCAATGCCTGAATTTCAAGAAGATGCCAGCAATGCTTCGGCCTACCACTACATGCACGTCAAAACTAGCGAGGTTTGCAAAATTTTGCTCAAAAATTTAGAGGTTTCCTTGCTTCATAACAACACATTCAATCATAAAATATCAGCTAATGCGCCTCTCAATATCCGCTTTGTATCAGCATCACATATATAGATTCGCTAATGTGTTTTTGTAGACAGCTATTGTTCTAACGGAAAATGTCGAGAAGTTATTGTTAGCGTTAGAGAAGCAGTAAACTCAAATTAGTAGCGATGGTTTGCACAGCGGTAAGATAGGGATCTCATTACCGAGATTAGCAAAACCATTGAGTTAAGTGCATCACTGAAGTCCATTTGCGACATAAAGCAATCGATTCTATGCAAATGGAAATGCAATTGGAACATTATCTGAAATCTCAAATTTGGGTTTGAGAAGGATTGTCCGCAAAAAAAA